ATGACAACATTTTTAAGTTTGTTCCTTCTAAAATTCCTATTAAGTCAAATATTGTTGAATGGAAAGTCATAGTACCTAATTCTCAAAGAAAGGCAGTCATAAGAAATTCACATGATCCTTCTACCTGTAGTCATTTTGGTTTCTTTAAAACTCTCTCAAGAATACAAGAACATTACTACTGGCCCAAAATGAGAAGTGATATTTTAAGATATGTTAAATCATGCAAGGTGTGTCAGTCACAGAAATTATCAAACACTCCTCGTATGGGACTTATGGGAGCTGAGCGTACAGTCAAATTCCCTTTTCAGACTATTGCAGTAGACATTATGGGACCATTCCCTAGATCTTCTAAAGGTTTTACCTATTTATTGGTAGTCTCAGATTTTTTTACAAAATATACCTTATTGTGTCCTATGCGTGATGCGAAGGCACCTAGTGTCGTCAAATTCATGGAAAACCAAGTATTTTTAGTATTTGGGGTACCACAATTTATAGTTTGTGATAATGGTCAGCAATTTGCTGGTAAATTGTTTAAGAAGTTAGCTGATACCTACAAGGTACAAAAAATATGGTACACCCCTCGTTACTCGGCGCAATGTAATTTTGTAGAAAGAACTAATAAGACAATAGGTCAAGCGATTAGGAGTTATGTAATAGATCATAAAGATTGGGATAAAGAATTATTTAAAATTCAGCAAGCCATCAATACCTCTATACATGAAGTCACCCTGTATAGCCCTGCATTTTTGACATTCGGTCGTAATGTACCCCTTTCTGGTGAATATTATGGCAATCTTCCTAGCACCCAAGATATTGAACTTTTACCTGACAACAGGGATAGTTATGTTCAGAATATCAGTGGTCTTTGTGATGTCTATAAGACAGTTCAGGAGAGATTACATAAGGCTTACCAGAAGAATGCAGCGACTTACAACCTTAGAAAAAGAGATCATGTATTTAATGAAGGCGATAAAGTCTGGAGAAGGAATAAAATTCTTTCAGATGCTTCAATTAAATTTAGCGCCAAGTTGGCCCCCAAGTATGTGTTATGTACAGTTAGGAAGCGAATATCACGCTTAGTTTATTCTTTGGATAATGTCGATGGATCTCCTGGTGGAGAATGGCATATCAAAGATTTAAAACAGTATTTTGGATCCAATTCAGATGTTTCCGTTGGGTAGATATTCTGTTGGATAGATATTTTTGCTTAAACCATAAATATTTTGATTTGTATACCTATCCGATAGGTTTGGTTAGGTAAAAATTAGTTTTGGATTTTTTTATGAAAAAAAGTTATTTTTTTGGTGCTCTGACGCACAACAAATTTTAGAGACTACTGTCATGTAGTAATGTATGGTTCAGTTGTAACCTAGTTTAAAGGATAGATGGTATATCCCTTGATAGTATGCATACTAGACCCTAGTTTTTTGATGATTCACAAGGTCTGATCAACCTGAACATCATAACTGCCAATGTAAATATTGATTTTTTGGTGAGTTAGATAGTTGTACATAGTTTTTGCTCAGCCCCACCAGTAAATCAGATGAAGAAGCATATTATGCTAAAGGATGAAATTTTCATAGCTTGACTTGAACCCCGATTCTGACCTAAATAATTTTGAATAATTATACCGATTTTGACAGTTACTCAATTTTGACAGCTACCCTATTTTGACATTCACCCAAAGGTGACAATCATGATTTGTGACTTCCTTTCAAGGAACGTATAGTACACGTAGTTACTGTAGTCCAAAACACTTCTGAATTTACTGAACATTGGAAAAAAATGTCTCAAGTCATTGACCCATTTTTTTCTCTTGGCAGAGGGGTATATGTAGCATTTGAAATTGCTACAATTAGTTTTAGTTTATTATCTTTATGAGTAGTTTATTTTTAGCTAGTGTATATAAATATTCACATGAAAAAGGTACATACCTACAGAGAACACTCAGTCATTTGATAGTCCTTGATAAATCAGATCATCTTTATTATAAAATACACAGCTGATTTCATTTAAAGATATTAAGTATTCAGATTATTTTTCTTGAGACTCAGCATACCTGTAGGAAGTGATGATTTTAGCTTCGGCTTCGTTCTCTGATCCAATGAACAGGTCCTGAAAATTGGGGAAAATAACTATTAGAGACTTACTCGGTTTTGAGGTGAACAGTTAACTCACCTGTGGTGTTCCACGGGGTGTTGTGCCATTGGAGATTCTAGAGGTTCTTACAATTTCAGATGAAGTCGTTCGAATTATTTGTTTTCTTTAATTTTCCAGGATTCTTTTGTTGGTTAGGTATGTCCTATTCTTGTTCTAGCGTGGTGCTTCGGTCGTTGTCAACATCAATAATCTTCGTGACTCGCCGAGGAAAAAAAGGAGAAGAAGAAGAAACAGTCATCTACCTTTATTGTCTATTCACATCATGGTTTTGCGAAAGCGAAAAAGAAGAATGAGAGATTCTTCTGTCTTTGGTTCCTGTTTCGAATAAGTTTATTTGACCTACTGGTTCCCAGCCTTATCTCGACCAATAAGATGCGAGGAAATATTTTTTCTCTCGTATTATTGGTTGTTTCGTGAGCGGTCGATGTTGAGGGTGGGGGAACAGTGGACTTGGAGATACTTGGAGGTTCTTGAAGCTCTCTTCTTGGGCAGCCATGATGGAAGACGCGAGCCATTAAGAGTGGTGGTGATATTTTTGATCACTCGATGTACATCAGGTGAAATATCAAACAAAAATTATTTTTTTTCAACGTTCTCGACGCTAGTCATAATCACCATCACCTATTTGGATGGTTTTCGCTGTTTTGGGAGCCATGCCCACGCCGCGTGCCCCAGCCGAGATGCTGTTTGGCGCTTCTTCAACCCTTCTTAGAAGGTGAGTGATGTTTTCAACAACTGGTTTTGAGACAGGAGCATTTTTGTACCACGTTTCTTCCACGAACATAGAACTGTAGGAACATATTTTTTATACACTAGGGTCGTAGGAGAGGTTAGGGAGCATTAGGTCGGTCTGACCTGCCACTGATCTCCTGAGCTGCGTTTCGTTGGCACGCCGGGAGGAATACCCAGGACGAGGGGCTGCGGAACCCAGCACACTGGATCAGAGGGGGTCCTTTTCGTCCTTCTCTTTATGCTGCAGCTAATCCTCTGAGCTGCATGCTGTCGTCACGCCGGGAGGAATACCCAGGAGGAGAGACTGCAGAATCCAGCCCAGTGGATTAGTGGAAGCACCTTCTACTTCGACGCTGGACTTCTGGATTGACTGCTGTAGCACGCCAGGAGGAATACCTAGGAGCAAGGGCTGCAGCACTGGGCCCAGCAGTTCAGCCAGACCTTCACACATCGCAGTCACCTATGCTGCCAACATCTTTACACCAAGCGGACCGTGATAGGGGTGATACGGACCTCTGGAGAGGACCCTCCCCCTAATTCGACCAGGTTTTTGTTAGGGCATTAAAAATCTCATAAATTAACATGATTTACCATATTCACCTGTAAAACTCCCTGTGAAGCTTCACCATGGTACCATGAGACAGCGGTCTCAGTTTTACATTTTTTTGATGATTTTTTAGCTTAACATTCAGTAGAATAATGACAATTTCCCCACATATTTGATCATTTAGATATTTAGAAATTATCAATATTTATCTGATATATATTACCTAGTTTTGAGTATGTGTTAGGATCGTCCTCTACAGTGGTCTGGATGTGCCTTGTCTGGCTTGGGTGTAATAAATAGGTTGCAGGAATACACATTTGTTTCATTCTATTGGTTGTCCATCTCAAAATTTTCAGGAAACATATTTTGAAAGTATTTGTTGCTTACCATCAGTTATAGATATTTATTTGGTTTTCTCAATTATCCAAATCAACTACTAGTCTACTATTAAATTGAGTGGCGTCCAAAACTCAATATCAAACTCGAATATCAACATCGAATCCATATCAACTGTTCTCTGGCAAACAGCAGCCGTTCGCAAGTGTGACTTATTCCTCTTGTTATTCCAGCTGAATGAAATTAATCCTAATTTGGAAAAATAGGTTACAAGGTATGTTTTTTTCATTGGAACACCCTATATTTCATTTCATTTTTGAATTCTCCCTGAAGATCTGATTTCAACGACCCATCATACTTAGGGTCTAGCAGTGAAAGTTATTGACATATAGGGTGTGCAAAATCGAGATTTTCCAAGTTCAGAATTTTTTTCTGTCGGAACTGTTCATTATTCGTCAAAACGGTTTACATGTCCCTATCTCAACTTTTCAGTCACTATCAATTGGTGTTCAATTGAAATTGATACAAGGTTATAATTTGTTTCAATTAAATGTCAATTGAACACCAATTGATAGTGAGTGAAGAGTTGAGATAGGGACATGTAAACCGTTTTGACGAATAATGAGTTTCGACAGAAAAATATCCTGAACTTGGAAAATCTCGATTTTGCACACCCTATATGTCAGTAACTTTCACTGCTAGACCCTAAGTATGATACGTCGTTGAAATCAGATCTTCAGGGATAATTCAAAAATGAAATAAAATATAGGGTGTTCCAATGAAAAAAACATAGCTTTGATGTGCTGTGACCTTACGGAACACCCTGGGTATTTCAAAGAAATTTTGAAATGTGAAGCTCGATTATCACTTTAATTTGAATGCAAAACTTTTTTTGTATTTCTCAAGACAACAAAGGTATCGAACTCTGGATTCTCAGTTGGCCACCCTGTACAAGGGGGTTCGGACCTGCGCGGCTGCTAACTCTGGCCGCCAGTGTCAGCGTCATTTCAAAGTACTAGGCACAAATGAGTTTCAAATTTTCGAATGAAACACCCAGTAACTCAGATATGAGTGACTTTTCATCTAGGTGAATAATGCCTAATATTCATATTTTGAGCTCAGGATTGAAATATTTCCAATTAGTAATGAAACACCCATAGATGAACAGGACAGACACATTAATATCGATTGAAGAAACAATGTGTTGAATACTACTAACATTTACCTGCTGAAGTAAATGCCTTAGTCCGGGATTATTTGACATAGAGGGCCTCATCAGTCTCTGCGGCTGTTGCTGTGCTGCTACCTGTGGATTGCCCTGATTCGCAATTTGTTGCCTTTGTTGCTGAAATTTTGTTTGATCAAACAATTAACCCGCAGTACATAAGTTTACATCGTTGTAAATTCAAAGTAAAAATAGAATGCAAAACAAACGGAATGATTGATAAGATATACAGGGTGTTTCATAATTGAATGCTGATCCTAAAGGGCGATAATCCTTGGATGATTTTAAGAAAAATTCTTCATGTGAACATAGGTCCGTAACAGCTTCGTTTCTGAGATACAGGATGTTGAAATTTAACAAAAAAATCAGTTATTCCCCAATATCTCTGGAACCGCTCTGGCTTCTTTCTTCAATTTTGGTACATGCCGAGTATGAATAGAAATACATTTTTTCCATAATGAAGGATTTCTTAATTTCCATCAGTGGCGTCCCTGTGAACATACCCTGTCATACTTTTCATCAAAATAATGATACGCCACTGTCTTTTTTCCAAATGAATATTATTTTTGTAATTATCCTCTATCTTCTCATAAAAATGGTCTCTTGTCTTTTTTTCGTCCGGCGAACGGTTTTTGAGTTAGAAAATAAAATGCATTCATTTGCTTGTCCCTATTCGATTTTTACTCTTAGTCATAATTTCACAATTGTGGTAACCAAAAGATCTGAGCAATATTTTTATAATTTTATGGTAACCAGTATTTGTAATGAAGAAAAAAGCCAGAGCGGTTTCAGAGATATTGGGGAATAACTGATTTTTTTGTTAAATTTCAACATCCTGTATCTCAGAAACGAAGCTGTTACGGACCTATGTTCACATGAAGAATTTTTCTTAAAATCACCCAAGGATTATCACCCTTTAGGATCAGCATTCAAATATGAAACACCCTGTATAAAAGGTACAAGATAATGTAGAGCTGTTGAACCAAAATAATAGGTATGTATGAACCGGATGTATCACTAAAAAAGGACACCACCTGTATCTCTAAAATAAACTAATTGCCACAACGGTTTCGGAAAAAAATATTTTTGATGAAAGTGGCAAAGACAAATCTCTAATATCCAGACATGTCAAAAACATTTCCTCATACGACCAATATCAAAAGAACTACAGCACAATGAATTAGAGTGAGTAACTGAAAATTCAATATGTAAGCCGATTAGCCAGTGCGGAAGTTTGCAGCGCTATCAATTTTCAGAATTTCTTTACTCCGAATGTCCGTCGTGTTCTTTGAATCCACTTTTCATAACGTTTTTTTGTCGTCTGCGTTGATTTTGGCATTATTTGTTGTTCTGACCTATTTGTAGGTTCGCACCGTTTTTTGGATAGAGATCATATCGAACGAAGAAGTATTATTATTCCAGAGAAAATATGGATAGTAAAGAGTATTTTGTATGACTGTTAATTCTAGTGGACTTCACCCTCTAGCGGCCGTCCTAGAAACTTGAAAATAATTTCCAGATATTTCTTTGATTATGAATATTTTTTCCGAAACCTGTGCGGCAAATAGCTTCCGCGGCAGTCGGCGTTCTTTCTTAGAGTGATACACCCATTAAATTAGAAAAGGGCTAGTGGGAAATTTGTCGCCACATCAAGAACTGAATAAAGGTTATACTATGCATCACTTTTTAAGGAATCTGCTGATATTTCAGATCACTTTTCCCACTTTAGGTTTTCAGAAATCTATGTATACACAGTGTTTCACGGTGGATGGATCATTGAAAGAACCGAGCGACATGTCATTTGGAAAATTTGTAGACGTGGATTATCATCTGAAATATTTTGAACAATACAAAGTTGCCGCTTATATCAGAAAGAAGTAGTTACTTCGTTTTTTAAATGGAACACCTTGTATTTCATGTCATTTTTGGAATCCTCATAAGATTCCCCTTATAAGATCCCCCATAACTGTTTCTCTATACCTATCTGTAACAGTTTCCGTGATAAAAATTATTTCGACATCAAACTGCGAATTTCGACTTTAATCCCGAAATTTTGACTTTAATCTGGAACTTTCGACTTCAATCTCGAAATTTCGACTTCATATATGCCTACTCGGAATGTTTTCTTATCGTTATACTATCTCATCGTTACAGTCTCATCAGTTGAATGTTCGATGTGTCTCTTGAAACTAATTTCATGGAATTTATTCATAGCCAACTGGATGAAGGGAAGTATGTTGCTGCATTTTTTTCGATCTATCTAAAGCGTTTGACGCCATTGACCTCAATATTCTACAGGAAAAACTCCATGTTTTGGGCATAAGAGGAGTATTTTTATCATGGAAATCATATATCCGATATAGGAAAATAATTGTTCAGATAGAGCAAACTACATATCAATTTTTTGATGTCGACCTTGGTGTCCCACAAGGGACGGTTTTAGGGCCCTTGATCTATTCACTTTTCATCAGATATTTCAAGATTCATTGATGTTTAGTACTATTTGCCGATGACATATCAATCGCGGAGGCAGCAGACAGTACCGTAGAACTTGAAAATAAAATAAACTTAACTGCCAACAGGTTTGTCACTTGGTGTCATAATAACAGGCTGATGATTAATGCCGATCAGACCGGACTTATTGAGTTTTATGGAAGAAAGATAGGGACAACACTTGAAGTTTTTGTTAACGATACGCGTATCACTTTTTCTGAATCTACCAAATTTTTAGGAACATTTGTCGATAACAATATCAGCTGGAAAACGCATATAAGCTCAGTCTGTAAAAAACTGAGCTCAAACTTTTATGCAATTGAGAAATATACTTGACAAAAAATTCCTTCTTGATGTGTACTATGCACTGATAAATTCTGTTATACCTTACATCATAATTCTATATGGAAGTAGCAGCCACATTGACAGAGTTCTCATAGCCCAAAAGCGTGTTTTACGACTCATATTCAATTTAAAACGAACCGATTCATGTAGACCCAAATTCAAGGAGTACGAAATTCTTACAACACCATGTATCTACATCTATCACTGTGTTGTATACATAAAAAAATTGGAAAATGGGTTACAATCAAACTCCCAGTCTCACAGATATCCAACAAGAAGTGGTGACTTACTTAGAACAAAAAATAGATCAACTTTATACGAAAAATCGCCTACATTTTCCGGTATTATTGATTTATATTATATTTTAATTATATTTAAGAATGGAAAGATATAGGGAGTGATTTTTCACTGAGGTCTCAATCTGCCTACTCAGTAAATATCACGGAAGGTATGTGATTTGACGCCGGGGTCCCAATCTGCCTACTCTCCAGATCTCGTCACTGGTCGGGGTTTCAATCTGCCTACTCGTTCCAGAGAACTGAGGGTGTGTGGGTGGTGGAGCGGTATTTACAGTGGATGTAGTGGTCAGTAAAGCAGAATTAGGAGCGTGATTTGTTATGGCACATGGTGTGGAAAGTCGGGAAATGAGAGATTTCCAAGTGCTAGAAAGCCTTCGGCCGTCGTTGCGAGTATTGAGGCAATCAGGTCGGTTCTCTATCTTAAGAGCTTCGCGGATTACCCTTGTATGCAGAGTTCTTTCGGTGGCGATTGTTTTGGCGTTTTCGAAATCTATTGGGTGGCCTGTTTCTCCGTAATGTTTGAAGAGTGCCGAGGAAGGGTCTGATTTTCGGACTGCAAGTTGATGTTCGAAAACTCTGCTGGTAACGCGTCTATTTGTTTGGCCAATATATGTTCTTGAGCAAACTGAACAAGGTATTTCATATATGCCCTGAAAATCATTTTCCATGAAACATTACACAAAATTGGTTTTATGGCACTTGGAGAAAAAATATGTTTCACATGGCAGCAGAGTACTACTTTGATGCCTAGTAAAACAAATAACTATTTAGTAACAGAAATTTGTCCTGAATATTCCCAATACTAATCACATGTCATGCTTTATTGTTTTATCATTCGATGAACATTATTCAATGTATGTGATTCGGTGATTGAAATTTATCGCCAAGATATGCCATTCAAATTTACCGCCAAGGCCAAAATCGACCTGATTGGTCTGGAATTCCAACTTTCGACCTTTTCGGGTAGGATTCAATTCGTGCGTTCCAGAACTATGAAAGGGTACGAGAAATCAAGGCATCTGACAGCCGCTGTCATGCAGACAAGAAGCGAGTGCCAAAGTCATATACCGTGTAATATAAATCGTTCTACATAAATAGTAGTTTGTTATCTATAATTAGTGTTCCTTCAGTTGGCAAAAATGGGAAAATAAATAGTGTCCTGTTCGCTTCTGTACGCAACACAATGTACTTATACAGGGTGTAATTTTATTCATGGCTAAAACTATAAGCTATGGTTCCTTAGCTCATCTCGAGAATAAAAATTTATATAAACATATGACCTTGACCTCTTAATTTTTTTTCTTGTCATAATTTCCATACTGCTCTAGATACCTTCATGAAATTCGACATGCGCCTACTCAGCACCAATGGGCATTTTTTGATGCAGATTTTTTTATATTTCTAGCAGTGGCGTTCGTATGGGATTTATACTGGAGCTTCTTCTGAACAAATATTGTACGCCCTTGTTTTTCCGTAAATAAAAATCCTTTTTTGAATCCTTATTCATTTTGCAATAATTTGGCTTCATTACTTCTTTTTCGTCCGACGCACAGTTTTCGCGTAAAAAAATAAAAACCATCATCATGCATTTCTGGTATAACAAAATGGGTAAGTTCCCAATATTAAGAGGGCGCATCAGTCAAAACTGCCATGCAGAGGTCAGTTTGGTACCAAATCATTAATAAACTATAAATGTAAGCGCAAAAGTGGTTGGTACATATTAAAGACGAAGGTTAAGAATAGGATATGAAGGAATTTTCCAGCGAAATTCGATTTGTGTAAAAAAATATATGGTAATGAAAAACAATAACATTGACTACGTTTGTGTAACAGAATCGAATAAAAACCTGGCATACCCAAAGTTAGCAATTCAATAAATTTTTAATGGAATAATCAGCTTCTGGAACATTGTCGTTTGGGAATGTATTGTGCGTAAAATGAATTCTGACGTTTCTGCATCTATTTTCAATATCGCCATATTGT